TTTCATGATCACTTACGTCTTGAAAATACTGTATTTTTCTATGGTGGCACTGTTGATGTGTTATATTTTACTTTTTTCACTTGCTATATTCGGATGGAGAACTTAAAAACCCTGCGGAAGAATAAAAACAAGAATAATGACCCTTTTTTGCTTCTCTTTACCGTTTTAGCACGTCTGCCTGAGGTAATGTGTCACATATATGAATGGTGCCACCAGTGTGATGTGTGTCAAGTGTCACATGATGAATTATGGTGTGACACAAGGCAGTAACACATGTTAACATCATCCGTCTGACCCTAGATTGATTGCATTTCAACATGATTGATATTAAATTGACCCTGTGAATGTCTGTGCTTCAAACAACTGTTGTTTCCTGCATGAGATATTACATCAAACCACAGCCGGCTAATAACATCTTGATCTCTGACACCGTCAATGTCCTGACAGAAGTGTGATGCCTTCATCCCCAGCAGCCTTCCACTAAAGCAGACCTTGGTCCTGACAGAGCAGTCTGTGATGGCTATGTTCATTGTTCATGTGCTCAATAGGCTTGCATGGCGTGGGCAGCAGTCAGTGGGGCTACATTTGTGCCTCTCTGCTCATTCCGGGGATATTTGTGACTTGCTCCTTGTTGACTCGATGCTCTTCTTGCTGACAACGGGTCCCTGTGTGTCACAGACGGCTAAATCCAGCCAGCTGCATGCAATTAGGCTGCAAAATGTTTGGGATGTGCATGCTAATCTGCACAGCATCAAGTGGGGACGATCTGCTGATTTAGAGTCTTTGATCAGCTGATAAATCAAATTAAATGTACTTTCTGGCATTTTTGCTTTGGTCCTGACATCGTGATTGTGTGCCTTTACAAGTATAACATAAATATTAAAGATGTATATTAATGAAAGTAATTGAATTCAATTCAATTACTGTGGCTTTATTAAAAATAATATAACACCATTATTCATCTAATAATCATGTCTTAGACGAGGTTGCTGTGTGCATAAGTCAAGTAAAAGTGTGAATTTCTATAAGAATTAATAGTGTATTTTAATATAAATTGCGATAGGGCTTGTCAAATGTGTTTAATGTTTTTATTTTGTCGATGGCAGGCTATTTTGACAGACAGACAGTCACTGGTTCATAAATCAGTGGCCACATCTTTTCCCCCAGGGAGATTCACTGTTGTTTCCTAGGTAACAGGCACCCCCTCCCTTTACCCTTGGTTCGTTTGGACTGTACCAACTTTACTGGAGGGTGGTAATAGCGATGTTGATCGAAAATAAGTAAATTTCCAATGTTTAAATTCAACGAAATGTACCAGCACCTTCTACGTTCACACCACGTGGCGTTTAGTTGCAGCATATAATATATTACATATTTTAGAATAAATGCGTTTTAATATTTAGACCTTAGTACCACCCCGGAGCAAAGCACATTGGACATTTCCTCGAACTGTCAAAATCGCTTGTTGCTTCCTACCCTAGCCTTAAAAGTAGTTAGCGAGCTAGCGTGTAGTGAGCTTACTTCTGCCTTTCACTGAAAAATCGTGCACCGTTATTTCGAAAGCGAAAAAAGTTTGCAGCGGGGAGAAGTCTCACACGAAGACACATTTTGCCGTCCTGTTGGTCCCGTTACAACCGAAATAGCGCCCTGGAGAAGCGGATGAAGTGCAGCTGGATGTGACAGGTTCGTCATCAGGTAAGCTGCAGGTAGTTAGCTTAGCAGATAGCATCATTTGCCTCTGGTGTTTCTGCACACACTTGGTTAACATAACGCCTCTTTTGGACAGCAGAGGTGGCTAAAATAGGTGCAATGAGACCAGTCAAGTATCATTAACAGTATGCGTTAAAGTCTGGACTGCTATGCTATCTCATAATCATTGCACAGAGCTAATGAAAACAAGTGAAAGCAGCAAGATAAAATCAGCATGCGTAGTGTTTCTCTCCTGCACTGTCATATGTAATGCTTTCTAGGACATGATGTTCACTAGGTTTCATATCTCACGACTTTTTCTTATTATTTTCTTTTTTATATATTAAATGAATTAACTTTCAGCATTATCTTGCACAATAGGCCTACGTGTTCGTTTAGTAAATAACATTGTGTTCCTTGTAAAGAAAACATGTAATTGCATTTGTTCAAAAATGTTTATGAATTTAACAGTACCTTTTTCAAATGTATATTTATTTATAGATGTCGCTATTGTACACAGCTTTGGCAATACTGTATGTCATTATGGTCATGCTAATAAAACAATTTGAATTGAAGTAATCTATAACATTAATCTGGGGTAGGTTGAGTAAAAAACAATTTATTATTGATTCCATTTATGACAATCAACATTATAAAACAATTGAGTTGTCACCATGCATCTAGGTGCACACGTGTTACAGTGCACCCAGAACGAACTAATGGCACCTTGATTAATGGATAGTTGGATTTAATTGCCATGTGCAAGAACAAATAAAACTGTTCTAATGAGACATAAGTGGAAGCACAATTTAATCTACTGCAGGTTGGCTAAGCAGGAGCCTTTCTACCTGGGTAAGGTTAATAAATTGTGATTAGACTATCTGCTAGGTCATGTACAGTCGTTTGTCCTGTAAATGCTAATTAACATCTAAGAACAGAATAACTTTGGCTTGTCGTCTGTGTGGAATATGTGGGATTCATTAAGGCCATAACGGCAACATGTTCACTTGAGTAAGACCTAGCAATCCACAGTGCATTATGAATGTTAGAAAATGTACTTTGTATAATTAGCAGTGGGAAAAAATTGGCAATAATATTTGATAGGGTCATATTAGCATCAGATTAACATACAGAAACGATTTTGACCCCACCCAATAACACTTTTTTAATGCAAATAATCCAGTACTTCCTGGTTGATCTTTGGTCCACAGCCTTGAACCGGCTCCAAAACACACCGGTTGACCACTAGCCTACATATCTGTCAGCCCGTTGTTTATTTACTGTCATCATGTGGCCTTGTGTGTCAGATTTACCAGAATGGGTTTCAAGCGGAAGGAAGGAAGCGCAACTCTCTGCCGCTTCATATTTGATTACGGCTAATAATAGAAAAAGACAGCTGCCTTTTCATTGATCTGTCTTCGGTGCCCTATTTCTGAGCCCTGCTTTTTTTCCCTCTGTCGTGTGTAACTATCCAGTAGTGCCACATAATTCAGTGTTCTGTACTGGGGGCCAATATCAGACAGATTTAACCATCTTCATTTGCCGTAATTATCCATTGTTCTGGAATACTCCTATTGTATTTGAAAATGAAGCCGCTTTGGGCTCCTAAATCTGTGTGTGTGTGTGTGAGTGAGCCTAGCCGTTTGCGGTCATACAGGACAGGGATAATAAGAGGGGAGGGGGTACCATGTGGAAAGGAAGTGCCTCAGCGTGTTTGTCTGCCGGCCTTTTGTTTGTTTTCCTGTCAGATAAATCTATTTGGAAGGTAGGCTATCTGAGGTCTGCTGTTAGGAAATTTGCTACAACAAAAGCAGGCTTGTTATCCATTTATTGACAGTTATTCAGTAATGTGGTTATTGAAAAATCGATTGCAGCCAAATGAGAAATTGAGAATGTATCGGGAATGGTGGAGCAGCCTTGCCTGTCCAACTGATGCTGTTCTGGATACATGTTGACATAATGAGCACATTTTCATAACTGTCAAGTTTTATCCTGCAGTAATACCAAGTTGTTGCTTTGTAGCATTGCTGCTCCTTTAAACTGCTGCATGGCATACTGAGACTTCATTCCAGGAAGGTGGAAGGTGACACTTTTGCTTTTGACAAAGACTGACATCCCCCACCGCCTCCCTGTTCGTTTAATGGAAGAGCGCTTGTCTGTGTTATTTCATTACAGGTGATCTGATGTCTAGGGTGACGTCGGTTTTCATTTGCTGAGGTAGACAATTTATCATGCTGGAGATTTTAATCCCCCCCATCTCCCCTAAACCATTTGACAAATCAATTTCCTTGCGGAGCATCAGATTATTTATTGCCATTAAAGCATAATCAAACGGTTTGTTTATGATGGGACTGCAAAGCATGTTTAGCCTCATTGATGTCAACGAAACACCCAGGCTGCTGCGTCATTCACAACCTTTGTACGAGACAGAGGCAGAGGAGGGAGGGAGAGACAGACGGTACAGCTGTTCTATTGAATCTGGATCGAAAAGTCATGAAGCTGGATCTCTGACTCATCAGTTCTGTGACGCTCCGGTTTCACGGCTCATATGTTGCCAACCAGCATGTCATCAGCTGGGCGGAGGGGAGAGGACGAGTGGGGGAGGAGACAGACCAAGACTCCCACTTCCCAGCCCCTACAAATCTTTTTTTTCAAATTCTGATGCAATAACAATAACAGAACCGTCCAATTTTCCAGTCCAGTAAAATGTGATTGGAAAAGAGCCTGAAAGATATCTTTGAGTAGAGAAATGCACAGGTGAGGGGTGGAAGAGAGACGTGGGGAGGAGAGGAGTGTCTGGAGTAGATGAGTTTAGAGGACGGATGGTGAGGGGAGGTAGAGGAGAGTCGAGAGGGAGGGGGAGGAGGTGTGGTGCTCCTGTTTCCTGGGGGGATGGTGTTAAATGTGATGATAGAACATAGACAAGGACATGGCTGATGTTCAGCATGCCACTGCAGCAACTCTTTGATTATTGCTTACTCGTACTGCTGTCTTCTGAAACAAGTACTGTCTTTGTTTTTCTATTAGAAAACAATTCCTGGGGTGCAGATGCTAAATGAAATTAAAAAAAAGTTGAGCATGGAATTGGGGAAATACCGTTATAAATTGAGCATTCAGAGGTTGTTACTGTAAGCACAGATTTCACTTAGTCTCCTCTGTTCCAATCAGAAAGCTGTGATACAGGGGGGCTGTGTTCCTATTGGCTGGAGCTGTTAAGGGGCAGGACCTTGCTACAGGCTGGTGGGCAGGAAGAGGCTGGCTTTAGGGGTGTGGGGGGGAGGCTGGAAGTGTTTTAGCCAGATAGTTGGAGTAGACACTCTTCTGCTTCCTGCCTGCTTGCCTCGCTCGCTTGCTTGCTGAGAGAAAGGGAGAGAGAAAGAGAGAGAGAGAGACATTTAGAGAAAATCCCTGTCTAGGCATGGACCTCCAGCTGCAGCACTCGGCAGCTCGCGAGGAATGACAACAGTTCACATGGTCATTAACTCCAGGCGCTGAAGGGAACGCTGCACTGTAGCTCAGTGTCACAGCAGCACCGGTGCCTCCTGTGTTCGGGACAGCAGACAGACAGAGGCTCACAGCAGGACCCAGTGGAACCAGGTGGGAGAGAACGGTCATACTGGCTGCCTTTTTCTGTTTTTTCTCTTAAGAGTTTTGCTGCAGTGTGCTGCATACCAGTCTGGGTGGGGAGGGAGGAGAGGGAATGTTTTATCTGTGTGAGTGAAAGGCTGAACTGAGGAAAGAAAGGGGCAGAAAAAATATATATAGTGTATTTGTGTGTGTGTGTGTGTGTGTGTGTGTGTGTGTTGGGTTAATGCACAGAGTACTTGCAGCCACGCAGTAACTACCCCTATTGCAGGTTCCAGCGCTGTAATGGACTTTCTCATACGTCTCCTGAGGGAGAGGCATGATCACAGCAGTGCCCCGTCCTCAGTGCAAATGTCAGAAGCTCTTTTTTTTTGCCACATGGGCTTCATATTCTTCACTCTCTAGAGAAAAACTTGTGTTGTGTAGCATCTGCTTTTTCACTACTTGCCTTGTTCCTACAAAGTTTTTCCTTGTAACACATTTTCCAAATAACAAGGGTAGGGATTGTGTGTTCAGAACAGGGTTTTACACTCTTGTCTGGACACTCATAGTTGATACGCTGGAAGTTCACAGTTCTAATACGGCCCACATCATCATTAACCTTTTGAGTTAGATGCGGCATGGTCGACGTGTCCCTGGCTTTCCGCTGTCTATCCAGATTTAGCTTTGTGCTAGACGATGGGCCTGAAGCAGTAAAGTGGACATCAGCGCCTGCATGGAAAAGGCCAGGGTGGTGTCATACATCTGGCTGTGAATCAAGGGGAAGTGGGTGTTTTCTAAAATGGAACATCAGTTCAGCCCTTCCTGTTGAGAAAAGAATGGGATAAGTCTCAGACAAGTACCGAGCGTTTTACAGCACGACCCCGTCAGACAGAAATCCCCTTTCTCTGAACCGACTCCTGCAAATTGCATCTCGAGGTGGTATTAAAAGGATTTAGTGGTCGTTTGGACATCTTCTGCATGAAAGAGGGGAGTCTGATTACTCTGTGACACGAGGGTGAGTGTGCTGAATCATCCAGCTCTTGTGTTTTGAAGAACTGTAATTTAACGGCTTGAGATATCAATAATTTCACCTCTTATTCAAAAGTACAAGAATTTTAATCTAACGTAGTATTTTCCTTCTGTGAGTTTAGGTTAATATTTCAGTGGAAGTTATCAAAAATACAGCCACTGTTGATGTAGTGCTTCTACAATTTTCACCTTAGATCTTGGGTATGCTGTTAATCATCATGTTTATCAGATTGGCACTTTTCACCTCTGGCTGCCAACTATACTGTAATTAGCTGATGACTTGCCTGAGTCCTGTGGCTAAGCATTGAGTAGACAAGAACACTTACACAGTAAACAAGTCCATTTACAGAGTGCAGGGGAAATCCACCCCACACTCTTTCTTATAAAAACGTAGAAAGGGTCAAATGTTTTGTGTTACGAAATAAGGAGAGAAAAGGCCATTCCGATATAATGAGCACGGCCATTCGGGTCAATGTGGTTTAGCTAAGGCTATTATGATACAGGGCACACCTTTCTGCTGACTGTGTGAAAATGCTTCTTGTGTCTCCTTTCAAACAGTATAGCTTAGTCCTGCTATAGCTTCCACTGAGCTCACTCACGCATCCTTATCACTAATGGCACTTGATGATATTACACTCAAGGAGACGTAGCTTATGCCAAAGACAATTTCATAAGCGTCATAACGTCTGTAGTATTAAACAGGAATTAGGCTGCATGGTATAGCTCTGATCCTCCCTGGAGGCTGCAGGGGAACATTCGTGCAAGCTGGTGATGTCACCGTGAAAGCTAGGTTAGCGACATTTTGATAAAACCTTTTCGGTGAGCCTCGTTCATTTTCCATTACTCAGTGGAAGTTGAACATTTTCCTATTTCACTTGAACAATGAGGCCCTCTCTCCACAGCCTTGAGAAAACATTGACCACTTGTTCCTCTTGGCAATGCAAATGACCATAGAAGTGGGTTTTCCAGCATGAAATGGTAATAAATGGAAATGCAGCCACTCAGGTACCCAGCTCCTGTGCCTGTCTGTCACAGTCATTAGTATCTCTTCATTATTTCTGCTGGCAACACCTGGCTGATGCCACAGTAAACGTTGTCACAAGGCTCAGGACCAATGGAAAGCAGATAGCTTATCGTCTCTGCTGAGCAAATACAAGCAGCTGAGATAAACTGTAGCGCACAGACCAGCGCTCAGATACCACACTAATGGGTTACATACGTGGTATTCAGAGGTCAAGCCAATGACTTTCACTCCAGTCGCCCCAGTCCTGCTGACTCTCATTCAATTAAGCAGACTGACCAAGATAATGCCCCTGCCAGCTGGCCTTAGTAAGCGTTAGTAATCCATAAAATCCTTTTCTTCACATCTCTGCCCTCTTTATCAGGTCACCATGTCTGTCCACTGTTTGTACTGAGGATACAGAGGGAACAAAGCCTCGGGAAGTTAAGATAAACAGGATACACAGGGATGTACAGGATTTGCTCTTGAGGTTTATTCAGAAAGTAGTCCTGTGTAGCTGAAAACAGATTACAAGACTAGTCCCTAGAAGGACTTAAAAACTGCAAAAACAGAACCTGGTATGTCAAGGGTGTTTGTTTCTGAGGTCGTAACATTGGCCGCTGCATGGTCCCGTCCTACCTGCTGACCATCTGTCTTTCCCTTTAATTTAGTGGCATTGCGCTCGACCGCTAAACTCAGCATAAACTAAGCCAGTCTGCATGTTCTCTAATCATCATGCACTAGCAGAAGCTAAGCTAGCCACAACCAAGCCAGAGGCACACTGTCCAAAAGACCAAACTTAGCTCCGCTTGAGCTTTCCAAATTATATTCTTCCACTGTGAGTTTGAGTCCTTCATGCTGTTAAACTAGGATGTTGTTATGTGACAGAGGTAGACATTTTCCCCCCGGGATGACAGTTTACTTTCCAGCAGGGGGCTTTGGTATGTTTCAGGATGCCTCAATCATCTCTGCTAAAGACAGCCTAGCATTAGCTAACATGCTACGACAGCGTTATTTCTCTATTACACATCCATCTCATTAAAGCTAATTGGATGAAGCACACTGCAAATTATATTATGATAATATATATATAAACATATGCATCCACAAATGTTTTTTTTAAAAATATGTGTGTTTTCAACTTCAGTAACGTACTAAATGCTTGAATAGATTATCTTAATTGTAGTTAATACAAAAGGCCTAGTCTCAGGGCAGATGTGAATAACAGCACCCATAATAATGAGGAAACAAGTTGCTTCAGCAGCAGTCCAATGTCCCTGCTTCTAGATATTACACAAACCTTCAACCGTCTATCTGTATGGGAACAGACATGCGGTCATGTTCCTGCATGATTATTATCCTAACATCGCCCACATGAGGGTGTTTTTGATCTTCAGTCATCACCATTTGTTTTGAATACCTCTCATGACAAACATTGTTTGAGTGTTGCCTGTTGAGCCGGCGACCCTGTGAGCTTTTCAGATGACCTCAACCAACCTTTATCCACACTCGGCCTACTCGATTTCATGAAAGCTTTCAGAGCTACTGTAAGCCCCAGCTTTCCAAACACAAATATAAAAAACTATGGTTGTGTCCCCCTAACAATTTTAGCATAACTTGAGGCCAGGACAGTTCACGGAGAAATGGCGCCATCGGCCCTTCACACGTTCCGACAAAGTAGGTTAGCTTGATAACAGACTTCTTATGGCTTCTAAAAATAAGAAGGGATTAATTGTTAAAGGTCAGATCTGACATGATTCTTACCTGACTCTCTTCTGCAGCGATTGGCTTTCTCCCTGGGGAGATGGTGTGAAATTAAATCCTGCCTCTGAGAGCGGAGCCTGGGCGTCAGTACGATTGGGCGAGGAAGCTTCTCATCTCATTACACATGATCAGCACTAAAGTGGGACAATATGATTAGCTAGACAATGGTCTGCATTCATAGGCTTGGAACAGTATAATGGTTACAAAGGGTAGCATCTACCTTCCTTTGTGACTGGCAAATCGTTATTATTCATTGGCGAGGTCTTTTTCTTGTGGCCTTTTTGAGTTATTTGATATTTCAGAGCTCAAACTGAGTTCAGAAATCTCCAATTAGAGAGAACATGTTTCAGTCCAAGGTGATTTTTACAAGATAAAAGGACAAAAATGGGTTGGATTAAGATAAGATGGACCTTTCTGTGCCTAAGCCTCACCTAAATCTGACAAGACCTGCACAGCTGTATGGCAGCTGTGTATCTGTGAAAAGAATTTCTGCATGGATTTCTTCTTCCCTTTACAGTAGCATTGATGTGTTGAGTACAAGTCTCAACAAGCCTTCATTAAGACCACCTGAACTCATCATGTGCCTTTTAGAGGTTGTTTAAGATGTTGTTCTGACAGTATTTAACACTTTCTCTGTGTTTGCTCCTTGTCTGGTCTGTTTTCCGTGCATTGGTTTATATGTTCCAAACAGTAACGGGGGAATCTTTTAACCCAAGCTGTATGTTTTTACAACCCTTCTCCTCCCGCAGGCTGGTGTCCTCAACCCCCTTTTCCCGCCCCCAGTTAGCAGAAAAACATTTCCAGATGTGCCAAGGAAAGAGCTCCTTGCGCAGTAGCTTAGTAATGGCTTTCGTACGCTCAAGCTAAAGGTCACTTCCTCAGATTGTTGCTCCACCAATTGTCCCAATTTTCTCCCTAGACGACTCCAGACAGAGACCAGTACCTTTACAGGACAAGGCGCACATTCCCCCCCCCGTGGATGTAAATCGACAAGCCTCTGCCAATGAGCCAGTATCTAATTTGGACAGTGCGAGACAAGTGAGTATTGCGGGACACTAGGCAGCGTCATAATCGCGTCTGGCGCTGGCATATGCATCTGTCTCGGTCCCTCTGTGGCTGCTGGACGGCTGCCCGGAATAATGCTGCGCTGCGCGGTTTTCTATTGGCTGCTCTGTCCCGCCGTGCATGGCTCTACAGGGCGGGTTGGACCCTGGGGCTTTTCTCTATCTCTGCCCCGACTCCACGCTCTTTTCCACGGTCTCATAGCACACAGGGTTATACTATTCACCGCTTTGTGCGCAATATGTTGGAGAGCCAGTGGGCATGTAGTCACCGGCTCGTACAATGGCCCACAGCAGCGATCTGGGGACTTGAACTCAAGTGCGGCTGAACATCCTCACAACTGCCTTTTCCCTGGTTCATCAGCCCGGTACCCTTTTAGAGGTCCTCCGGGGCACACTAATTCAGATTGACATGCATACACAAAACCCTTTTTTAATGCCAGTTGAAATGTATTGCCCATCATATTTGGCAAACAATTTTCTCACACTGTTGTCTCTTTCTCTGCTCCATTCCAGATATCGGAAAGTGCCTTGGGAGACGACATCCTTACTTGAAGATCCCTCGGGGCTCCTGAAGACCTCCAGGTTTTCCCCCCTCTGCAGTTGTGATAGGACTTAAACACCCTTGACCTGCTTGTTTGTCCTCTGTGTGAAGAAACCCCAAGTGAAGCGTTGGAGCTACTGCACTGCTGGCCAACGTGCCAAAGCTCGGGGAGCGGAGGTACAGAAGACTTTAACAGAAAGCCACACATTTAGTGTCCTGTGCATCGAAAATTTGCTCTACGTTTTGCTCCCAAACATCCACCGTTGCACATCATTAGTCATACAAAGGTCATTTTTGGGGACGTTGGTCCTACTGGTAGAGATTGTCCCTGATTATGCCCCCTTGGCCTTGTCAGAGGTCTGCACCCGAGACGTACTGATTGAAGAACAATTATCTAAGTGACTGATAAACTCCCAAACAGCAGCGCAGTCCCATGCTCCGGTCACAGAGACTTTGCCAGTCCATTACCTCCACTCTCCTGTCCACAAGGACAAGCCTGACCCGCTGACCTGAAGCAGATCTTTTATAGCTGCATGTTCCATCAGTTTTAGTTGTTGTGCGTTTTATTTTTTTTAACTGGAACACTCTGCAACGCCTCCTCAGAGGATCGCCTCGTTTTAGAAACCAAGTGGCCCCGCTCCACCCGGCTCCACAGCCACTGCTGCTGCTGCTGCCATGGCTCTAAACATTGCCTCGATACGGGACACAAAATGGCTGACCCTGGAAGTGTGCCGGCAGTTTCAGAGAGGGACTTGTTCACGCAGCGATGAGGAATGCAAATTTGCCCACCCACCCAAAAGCTGCCAGGTGGAAAATGGGAGGGTGATCGCCTGTTTTGACTCGTTAAAGGTAAGGATTGTTAAATGTAGGTTACTGCTGTGATCCATCCTCTACTTTAACTCCATGTTTTTCCCATTTAGTATAGGTAAAAACATAAATTATGTTTTCTACTCTCTAATTCACTTCTCTTCACACAACCTCATGGAACTGTCAAATGAGGTAAAGCAAATATGAGAAATCAGATTTCACCTCTGCAGTACCGATATAGTATCTGACATAAAATGTTACAGCTTTGTGGGTTCTAATGGTCGGGGGGGTGTAGGTTGTCGGCTCAAATTAGCATGTGTGTCAGGTCTCCATGCTGTGCTGCAGTTAGCAGAGCAGTCTGACCTATAAAGTTAAAGGCCAAGGAGGTCTGTTGTCATGTTCACTGTCACCACAGGTGTGTGCGTGTGTCTAGTTTTTTGTGCAATAAGTTCTTCTAATGTTACCGTGCCTTGTCCATCATTTGTATATGAGGCTGAACATCTGATCGCCTGAAGTCATTCCAGGGCTTCTATTTCTGGATGCATGTCAGCTGCCACTCACATCTCACCATCAACATGAACAGCCACAGCTCGTTTTGCAATGTTTCTATCTCAATGATCCGAGAATAGCTGTAACTATGGCATTTTATGTGACATCATCTCGACTTTTAAATGGATTTAGTTGTTATTATTGACATTTGGTTGATATAAGACCATTTTGAAGTATTTACTTCTGTAATACGGGTCTCTAGTTTATTCCCTCGCCTCTCTTATGAGAATGTCACCCTTACAGTTTGGCAAAATATCTTAAATTAGCTCTACACCAGACCCTTTGAAAGTCTCTGTAATTATAATGAGATCATTTCATACAAGCCCCCTCATACTGCAAATAAAATGACTGCACCCAAGAGCAGGCCATTATTTTCAAGCTGTGATAACAAAAAATATATATAAAAAAATACTGGTGACAATGATAAATAGCCAAAGAAACTAGAGCAGAACACTGAAACTGAGTAGTTAGTCTTTTTCTTTTAAAGTGTGAACTGTAGCTGCATTCCACATATACAGCAGTGCAGTGTGTGGCGAGGGCATTTTACATTTTTCAAGGTTGTGGACGAGGTCAATGTCAAAACAGAGACTAGATTCCCTCTCTCAATTCTGATGTCTTTTAAACATACTATCCCTCCTCTTACGCCTTACTACTTTTCGTATTAGTCCATATAGATCTTAAGGTTGTGTAAAAGCCCCATTTATTGCAAGTTGCTCACAGTCCATAATTATCCAACACTATGAAAACAAGTTTTGTTCATTGTGCAATCAGCTGTTCTCTTGGCTCGTGGTAAAGCTCGGTGAAATATTCCTTGCTGTTATACCGTAATGAGCTAACAGCTGACTCCAACTGGGATCGATTTGTTGTCTCACCATGCAGCGGATGGCCTGACATGGATAGTCCACACATGATATGATTTTGCTGTTTCCATGAAAACTCCAACCAGTCATCCCTGACCGAGCTAAATGACCGGGACACTCTACCTCATAGTGCCACCTTTTAATTTACACGATTCTCAAGGACTACAAATAGAAGCTTTCAGGCAATACACTGGCAACTCGTGCTCATCTGTGCTTTAAAGTAGAACATGAAGGGAAAGCTCATCTGTAAAGTTACTTTACCCGAGGAAAGGAACTCTGGATTGGACTGTTAGTGCATCTTAAATAAGGGCTTTCTAAATGCTGGTATTTGGATGTTGAATTCGACAGTTCGGCCACCATGACAAAGTGGCTTCTGTATAAGCCGAATGCAGCTAAATTGATAAATGTATAGACAGATCTGACTGTAATCACTCCCTCACACTCTCTCTGCCCCTGTTTTCACCATGAAACCCAGTGACAGAACGAGAATACAGGATTCTCTGTACTTCTGACTCCGACTCGCCCCCTTTCCCACCAAGACTTTCCTCGTGACAGCTGAGAGAATGAATGCTTTATTATGCATTAGGAAATGTGTTTCGCTCCACGGCAGGCTGATTTCCACCCCATTACGCCCGTATCGTCTTCCTGGGTCTTCTCATCTGATAGGGTTATCATGCCAGGGTTGTGTGCTGCCAGGCGTGTCTTGGCCAATGATCAGACGTGTCCTTCTCATAAACAAGCGAAAGGTACGGCTCGAGAGGAGTAGAGTAGGAGGTGTAACTCTGTTGTTGCACTTGTCAAGCAGCAGTAGGCCTTCATGCCAAGTCAGTGAAGAATTCTGGTTATTGTTGGTGTAAAGCACTCCTGAGGCACACTCTCTCAAAATGTGTGTTTTAAGGTTTATTTTGTATGTTTTTTGACATGTTTGACAATCCTCATCCAGAGTTCAAAAGGTTAAAAAAGTATTCTTGGGGAGAGACCTTTTATTTATCAGGTGTTGCGACATTTATATGAAAACTTATTTCTGACTATTTGTCGAGCAATCATATTCTGCAGCACAGCTTTTAAAAGGTGTCATTTTAAACACAATGCAGTGGGACTAGTCGGAGAAGTTGCTGTCGTTGCTCTTGTCAAGAAATAGAGCGGAGGTGCGGTAAGAGCCTCGTGTATTTTCCCCGGATATAAATTACATTTGAGAGCATAATTCAGTTATTGCACCCGTGTGCATCCCTCCTTATTGAATTCACACGCCAAGGACAGGGACGGGCGTAGCAGCCAGAATGTCAAATAGCAACATTTCCGAGACAAGGCGCACTGAACAGGTGTTTTTGCATTTTCCGATAGTGTGTTTTTCATAGGTCAAGTGGAGATGTGGAGCCTGCTACGTTTGCTCTTGATGGTAAAGCCTGCAGCGTCCTGACTCCACTTCCCTGCTCTCAGCACTTCTATAGTGTCATGCCTGGGGGATTATTTTGTGTCCTCCTGCTCCACAGTGTGGGCTTTAGAAATAGTATCTCCATGCTACATTTGTCATCTCTCAAAATAGGACAAGCTGCTTCGTCTCTGTCCAATGAACGCTGGATTCACATTCGGTTGGTAGACATGATATATCTAATACCGGGCGTCATTCATTTTCATTGTGGCATGAAAATGTGACAGTGGTGACCTCAACAATAGTTGGAAATGTTTCGGAAAATACACAATTTTTACTAACATACTTCCTTTATTTCCTTAAAACCATCCAGAATGATGCATTTAAACGTGTTGTATATACAGATTGTGGTAAAGAGAGATTTAAAGTATTTTCCATTGAGACCAGTCACTGCAGTAGCAGATAAACACAGGCCAGCAGCATCACAAACGAAGAGACGAGGTTGAAGCCTTTTCCTTTAAGCCCTTAGATACTTGTTGTGTTGTGTGACCATGGAAACCGTGACATATTGGTTGAGGGGGTGAATGGAGGGGGAGGAGTGGGAAATAGTACCTTATTGCAATCCCAGCCGTCATGTGATGATGTCACGTTGGCCGTGCCTCTGACGGTAGCCTTCTGTTGATGCTTATGTTTCTGCTTCTCTCTGTAAGGTCTCGATCTGCGCTGCAGTAAAAGAGAGTCTTCATGTCCACTAGGTCGTTTGTCTCAATTTAAGTTTTTGACTGCTTGCACAAATATGACATAACACACGTGGGCAGATTTGAAAAATGCAGAAAATAATGCTTACAAAATAAGCACCATGGTCTGTTAAGGCTCTCCCCCCACAGTTTCTTTTTACTCCACTCAGATTTAACCAGGTGATCCCCACGCCTGAGTGGACCTCAATAGCCTAAGAGGCGGGGGGTGTGGGGGGGTTCGTGCATCCTGGCACTATCATGTTTCATGTCAAGTTGCGGTTGTCAAAAAGAAAAGTGTCGAGCAGGAGCAACAATAGAAGCTACTTCCAGGTGTGTGTGGTGTTTTCTCACTTGTTTCACAGACTCTCGGCAGAACCCCCCTGGGGGTGAGGTGCCCTGCTTTCCCCCACTTTGTAAGAACATCTTAATCCGGGCTTCAAAAGAGCAGAAGAGTTTTTTTGAGGACCGTGGGATGACGGAAACCTGCGAATAAAGTAGCGAGGGAACACGGCAAGGAGGGAAAGTGTTTGAATGGCTAAGGTAGATGCCAATCCAGACAATCAAACTCAAACACATGCCTTAGCCATCTTTTTTTAATTTAGAGATTCTTCTGATTTATCTGTAACGTCCTCCCTCTGGGCTTTTGCATTCAGCTGTATCTTTAGGAAGCCTCAGTGAACATGGACTTCATGCCTATGGCCTGTACCCCCCTTCTCCTCTCCTCTCTTGTTTTAAAAGATGGGCTCGGCTGCATTCCTCAGCGTAATCCTCTCGAACTGGGCCACACCCTGGGCAGAGTGTGGAGGGGAATGCATGGGGGCAACGGGAGGTGGTGTTCCCCCGGGGTCATTCACACAGACTCAATGAGGCGCTGACTTGAGCTTAGCGCGGGGCTGCAGTGGACGCGGCATGCTTTGATGAGCCCGTCGGAGACCCCCGCCGCTGACGTTCCTTAAACAGGCCTCCTCGCACACAGACGCACGCTCGCACACTCGTTGTCTTCCCTGTGCAAACCATGCCAAATCTCATTTGATCCATGTGATTTCACCACTAACGCCCCACAGACCGGGGTCTAGCTGAAAAGAGTTAGGAACAGATAAGAGAGAGGGAGGAGGAAGTCAGATCAGCTCACTGTTAAAGTCTCATGACCAGTTAGCATTGTATGTTATAATGGTGTCACAGAAAATAACATTGATTCTATATGAAAGCTTTTGAACGTCCATTATAGCCTCAGTAAAACCTCAGTGGGAGATTCTGAGAGTCAATGGCATAATTGTTCTTTAATTGAGATACATATTTACAAAAGTGATGGTTGTTACTACAGACTAATGCACTGATTTGAGAGGCTGATAGAGTAGGGCACATGTTGGCATTTTAATGGTGTGTGTGTGTGTGTGTGTGTGTGTGTGTGTGTGTGTGTGTGTGTGTGTGTGTGTGTGTGTGTGTGTGTGTGTGTGTGTGTGTGTGTGTGTGTAAATATACAGACATTACAGGAAATGAGTAAAATAAAGAACTACCGTGAGA